AGTCCAGTAAATGGAAATTTATGACGTGTTCACTCATTCTTTTAATTTTGTGAGTGAAGTCTGTATTGAAATAATCCAATAAAAGAAAAATTTTGACACATTTGTTTCTCATGCTCGGAGATGCCTACGTGGCATGGCAGAAAATACGTGTTTGCCAAGTAAGCACCACTTTAAGGACACGTGAAAAATTATTATTATTTTTTTTAAAATATAATAATTTTTCACATATTCATCAGGTAGTGGTTATCTAGCGGATGTGTGTCCTCCGGCGTACCACCTGGGTGTCGCGTAGGCATCTCCGGGGCCGGAAGACTAAATGTGCAAAAAATTCACTTACCGAACTATTTCAATACAAGCTCCAGTTACAAAACTAAAATAATAAGGCCATTTACGGGACTAAAATAACAATTGACTGTATTTTATATTTAGTCAACTCTCATAATTTTCTATAAAAATATACTCATTTAGTCCCGTGTTAACGTATAAAATTACTTTTGGTACGAAACTTAAGAAATAACAATATTTTAATTGTAGTATATAGTGTAAAAATAATTTTGCCCGTATTTTTTAATGTAAAAATAATGATATAATGGTAAATATATAATAAAATAAGAGTATTTGCATAAATAATAGAGTCCACATTTACAAAATATATATATATTACCACAAAAAATGATTATTCTATCTCATAAAATATTATATCCAAGTTATAATTTAGATAAAAAAAAACAAATTATATTTTTAGTCACCTTTGTTGCCACTTTTATTAGTTTAGGATCATAATTGGACCTTATATAGAAATAATTATACAATTTAAATTTTTTGAAACAAATAATTTTTTGGCACCGAAATTGCATGACATGACACCCTCATGATCTACCGGAGCTGACGTGTTCGCACTGCGATGCCACTTAACCACGTTAGGGTCCTACAATAATAAAATGAGTTGGACTAAAAAAATATTCCCTCCATTCCACATAATTTGTCCCTATTTTCTATTTTCGTCCGTCCCACATAATTTGTCATTTCTATTTTTTAAAATATAATTATGCACTTTAATCGCATTTTAAATTTAAAATTATATAATTTTTTTAATTTTAATTAAACTATTTACTTATCTATCTTAATGTATAATTATTTTTACTAAATAATAATTATTTTTACTAATACACTTCTTAATTACTTACTAATTATACTTTTCTAAATTTCCGTGTCTATATTAATACACCCATATTACATGGGACGGAGAAATAATTGGTTATCCATATCACAATATACCTGAAAATTGGTAACAGACCATGTGTGTGGACACAACAGCTCCATCAGGCTATATGGATGTCACGTATGCAATTCTAAGTATCAGAAAACTATTTATGCCAAAAAAGAACTTGTATTGTAAAATTATTTTTATACAAGATCCACTTTATAATTATAAAAGGATAAAAAAAAATTGCAAGATACTAAAAAAATAAGGGTGTGTATGTTGTATTTTGGTTTAAATGATTTTTATTTTTTATATGAGATATAGAAAATTATGTAGATAGTATAAAAATAATAAGTGTGTATAGTATATTATTTTTTTAGAAAAATATGTAAAAAAAAATTTACGGTGTAATAGAGGCACCATTTATTTTCAATTATATCCATTTTGTATAATGTAATGATATGTACAACATATATGTCTACGGTTAAGACATTATATATTGTGTTATTATATATTGTGAGTTAATAATGTATTGTATTATATTGACATATGATATATATGTCATATATGCTGAGACAGATGAGGTCATGTGCTAAGAAAATAATATTTTTGTAATGAAATTTAAATTTATTTTTCCTAAACTAATGATATTATGTAGTGATGGAATTAGCCTCTGAACGTTGAGGGCGAGACTGTCCAATCAAGCGATTTTTTGTAGTTTGATTTCAGTTTAATATTTTTTGAACGTTCCAATCAATCGAATTGATGTTTTTCGGTTCGAACCAACAATTATTATTATTATTTTTTTTTAAAAAAAAGTGAAAATTTGTAAGAACGTGAAACGAAATAAAATTTTATACTTAAAAAGATTAAAAAGAATCCTTGAAAATTAGATGGGACAATTTATTTAAATTATATATAAAAAAATAATAGTTCTATTCATGCAGCACTCTTTTGAATTGTGATTCCCCAAAAAATAATATTTTATATTTTTTTACACAATTTTTTATATCATACAAAAAAATTAAAAACTTATTACAAGAAACAAAAAAATCAAATATTCCATTTAAAATAATGTATTTTATATTTTTGACACAATTTCTCGTACTATATACAAAAAAATCAATCTATCAAAAAAACGTTAAGCGAACATAATCAATATTTTTCGCTAAAAAAAAATTGACCCCCCAAGCCCCTTAGTAGATCCATCCATGACATTACGAAAGAAATTAGAAAAAATTTATTAAATTTCACCCCTAAAGTTTACGTAATTAACGTTAATTACTTTTATTTTTTGTTATAAATATATTATTTTTTGTAGTTCATCTATTGTTAGCATTTATATTATATTTATATACAATCATGTATTGACATTAATTACATGTTATAATTTTTCGATGTACTATCAACACAACAATGATTAATAACCGGTAATGTAACCGTAGTCCTAATATATATTCTTTTCCTCTCAAATAAAAATATATTTCCTTCATCCAACATAAAAAATCCATTTTTTCTAATTTGTACATAATTTATCTTTTTTTTTTTAAATGATTATACACTTTAATCGTATTTTAAATATAATAATTTATAATTTTTTTAATTTTAATGGAATAATTTATTTTTTTAATTTATTTTATATTTATTTTTATTATATAATAATTATTTTGACTAAGGTATTTTTTAATTATTTATTAATTATACTTACATAAATTATCGTATCTATTTTAGTGAGACAGAGGGAGTATTTATATCATTTTTGTCCGACCTACTCAAAAGTATTTATTTTTATTAGAATAAAATATAATAACACGTTAATACTAGAGTATTATTAATTTTTTCATAAATTATAAATATATCATTAAATTGCAAAAGACAAAAATATTAAAATCATCTTACATATTTCTACTATTCAATAAAATACTATTCTCTCCGTCCCGGTTGAATTAACCTCTTTCACTAGTGATACAGTATTTAATATAATAATATTTAATTAGTTAGTAATAGTAAATTATGATATTATTTTATTATTTTTATATAATGAAAAATATTGGTAGTTTTAAAATAATATATATGTTTTTAAAAATTAGAATGTATATTTAAATATTTTAAAAATAATATCATAATAAAATATATCTAATATTGATATAATTTTATAGAGAATAAAATATAATATAACACAGTAAATTAAAAATTATGTTTATTTATTTATAATTAACTTAAAACTAATTTTATAAAAGAGGTGAAGTTATAAATATAAATAAAAATATTTATTTTTTTTAGAAGAGATAAAAATAAAAAAATTTTATATGATTGTTACATAATATATGATATGGAATGAGATTAAATGCTGAAAATGTAAATTCAGCACACCTGAATGCTTGAAACTTTTAATTTTTTAATTTATATAATTAAATAATATAATTATATATAAGTTTTTTTCAACACATCGGGATGACTCAGCACCCTATCCTTTTCGATATGATATTATATGTTACGTAGTTTAATTAAATTAATTTATATTTATTAATTATATTTTGATTTAATAAATTTTATCCAAAATAAAAATATATCAATTGTTATTGGTGGCAAATAAAAAAAATATCAATTAAATTATAATGAGAAAATATTATTTTTAATCTATTATCAAAATCTAAATATATTATTTTAATATTTTATTATCAAAATATCTTTAAGTTTTTAATAAAAATTATATTTTTCTTTAAAAGAAATATAACATACTCCTTTAGTCAAATATACTCATTTGATTTTTAAATCTGAATTTAAGTACATAATATTTTATAGATATATATATGTAAAATCATTTTTATCCTTGTCACTAATTATATTGAAAGAATAATAATAAAAAATACTCGCTCCGTCCTTTAACAAAATATTTATTTTAGCTATTTTTGTTGGTCTCGTAGCAAAATATTCATTATCTAATTTAGAAACTCCATTACCTGTTTATTATAAAAGATAACCCTATACTACTACTAATATTACAAAAATGCCACCATACTAATTTAACTAAATATCAATAATAAAAATACAATTAATACTAAAATTAACACACTAACCATTAGACCATCTTCAACCCAGCATTCAGGATCGTTTTTTATTTTCGAAGGGCCTGGGGCGAAATAAAAGTCAGGGGCTTTTAAATATATATACATAATAATTTGCCATGCAAAAAATATACTCTCTCTGTCCTAATACAATAGTCTTGTTTACTATTTTTGTCCGTCTCAAAACAATAGTTTTATTTTCATAAATAACCATATAACTATAAAACTACCCCTATTTTTTTATTTTCATTACACAATTGTTATTACTTTTTACACTAATATAATATCAATATTCCTTGAATCTCGTGTCCAACCCAATTAAAACTATAGTTCTGGGACGGAGGGAGTAAATGAAAATTTATTTTCTCATCACCAAAAAAATATAAAAACGATTTTCATGGATCATTTTTTAAAGTATAATGGGGTTCATGTCATTTTTAAAGTATATAGAAGATTTACACTGAGTTTCGAAATCATGAAGGAGTTATTAATACTTTTGCTTAATAATAATAATAATAATTTTGTCTAATATTTATTATCCATTTAGTGCAAAAAAATAATTAAAACAAAAATAAAAGTGTTACGTACGAAATTTAGAATTAGGTTAAAAGCCCAAGGTAAAAAGAAGAATGGGCCTGGCAATAGGGTTGATTGAACTGGCTGAAGGACACCGTGAGGAAATCAAGGAAAATAAATTTATTTATTTATTTCTAAGGAAAATACAGGACGGAAGGTTCTTAGGTCGGTAGGTCCTCAGGACGGAAAGACCTCAGGACGGAAGGTTCTTAGGTCGGTAGGTCCTCAGGACGGAAAGACCTCAGGTCGGAAGGTCTTCAGGATGGAAGTTTCTTAGGTCGGTAGGTCCTCAGGACGGAAAGACCTCAGGACGGAAGGTTCTTAGGTCGGTAGGTCCTCAGGACGGAAAGACCTCAGGTCGGAAGGTCTTCAGGTCGGGAGGCCCTCAAGATGGAAAGACCTCAAGTCGGAAGGTCTTCAGGTCGGAAGGTCCGCAAGACGGAAAGACCTCAAGTCGGAAGGTCTTCAGGTCGGGAGGTCCGCAAGACGGAAAGACCTCAAGTCGGAAGGTCTTCAGGTCGGGAGGTCCGCAAGATGGAAAGACCTCAAGTCGGAAGGTCTTCAGGTCGGGAGGTCCGCAAGATGGAAAGACCTCAAGTCGGAAGGTCTTCAGGTCGGGAGGTCCGCAAGACGGAAAGACGATGAGTCGGAAGGTTTTCAAGTCGGGAGGTCCTCGAGACGGAAAGTCGTCGAGATGGGATATCCGCAGGTCGGGTAAACTGTAGGTCGGATAGAAGGAGGAGTCGGACAAACGCGGAGGCCTTTGATCAAAGACAGGGGGCGGTTGATATGGAGGTCGGCCCAAGTGGGGTCGGGCGAAGAAGTAGGTCGGACGAAGGACGAAGTCGGGCCAAAAGAGCGGAAGGTCTGTGGTCGGCTCAAGGAGTGAAATATAGGGAATTTTGGTCTGCTGGGGACACGTGTCAGCATGAGAAAGGTTGGAAGACGGTTGAGAAGGAGACGTTGTAACCGTTCGGGTGACGGTTTTCAGTACGGTTTCCCAGGGAATATTTAAGGATTTGGATCATCATTTGGCAAGGGATCTTCAATCAACTTCAACAAAGCAAAGTCAGATTTGGGGATCACCACTTTAAATTTCAGTCTTTTATTTTCCAGTATTATTTTCTGTACGTTACAGTGTTTAGAGATTCCTAATCTCAGGCACTAATTAATCAAGTTTAAGGATATTTTCCATATCTTTGAATTTTACTTTATTTTTGTTGAAAAAATACATCAACAAATTGGTGACCACAGTGGGAGCAAGACAAAATTGCTCATTCCAATTCCGGCGATAATTTCATACGTCTTAGATCCGGCCGAATCATCGGAAGGGTTATGGCAGGTTCACAACCGCAAGCATCTTCGACACCGGTGGGAGAATCCGTTCCACCACCCATTGTGCCAAATGCCGGGGAAATCCCACAACCACCAACTGATTGGTGGTCTTATGTTCAACAAATGAACAACCAGCATACCTTGGTTATGCAGAATATGTTGCGTGAGCAACAAACGAACATGTTGCGTGAGCAACAGAGTCAGTTGCAGAACATGATAGATCAAGCACTGTCAAGGGTTAGTCTTCAACCCACTCAAACGCCACCAGGAGTGTCACCGTCCAGACCACAGGCAAATTTCGCAGGGCCATCATTCGTGGATAGTACATTCCCAAGTGCCACAAATCCCAACCGAATGGATAGGGGAAAATCTCCTTTGACTTTTCCCAACAATGTTCCACTGGGACCAAGGGTTACCAATCCGCAGCCGAGCAATACAAGGGAGGACAGGCCTGAAGGATATATACATGATCCTATTCATATTCCTGTGCAGGATCCGTTCCATGTTCCTGATCATCAACGCTTTCATGTAGATCCTGACGAGATTGCACATATATTAAGGGATCAGTATGGATTAACTCCTCAGATGGCTAACCGCCCATATCAGAGACCTTTCCCAGAAAGGATCATTAATGAACACCCTCTCCCAAGGAATTTTCGACCACCCGACTTTCATGCATTCTCAGGGGAGGACGGATCTTCTACCATAGAACATGTTGGTCGGTTCACAGCACAATTGGGAGAAGTTGGCAATAACCCTTTTTATAAGTTACAGCTGTTTGGTTTATCTCTTACTAGAACGGCGTTTTCGTGGTTTGTAAGTTTGCCTCCATGACAAATTCAGACATGGGAAGGACTGGAGATGGCATTTCACGCTAGATTCTTTAATCCTTTACCAGTTGTTTCTTTAACTGATTTACTTGAATTGAGACAGTATCCAGAAGAAACTGCTTCACAGTTTATAGAAAGGGTGCGATTGATGAAGGGACGATGTCCTACGGTAATCAGTGAGAAAGAGATGACCAATTTAGTGGTCCGGAATATGCATAATCGTTTAAGAAAGGCACTCACTGCCCTGGATGTTGAGGATTTGGCAAGTCTTGCATCCAAGGCAGGACGTCTAGAGTCTTTGTTCAGAGAGGAAGATCAGCATAACAGGCGTAATAGAGGCCAACATATGGCGAGTATGGGAACAGAAACATGCGACTTTGATTTTAATCAGTCAGAAGAGATGGCAGCCGAAATCCTTTCTGGAAAACCGTATGTATGTCCTAAATTGAAGCCAGTACCAGGATCTGAAGGAAAGGAGCAACCGACCTTTGATAGTTCAAAAGCTGATGAAATTTTGATATCTTGCTGACTGATGGTCAGATCCGTATTCCAAAGGGGCAAAGACTTGCCACTAAAGAAGAAATCAAAGGGAGACCATATTGTAAGTGGCATAATTCTTTCACACACACTACAAGTCAGTGTACTCATTTTAGGAAGGAAATTCAAAAGGCCATCAAGACAGGTCGGCTCAAATACATCACTCTAGGTGTAGACCAGCAACCGTTTCCGAATGTAACAACGGCAATGGTTGACATCCAACCAAGTTCGGAAACAAGGAAAAGTTCGGCCAACGATGGACAAAAAGGGGAACGAAACCAGCCAAGCCCCGAAACAAAAAAAGGAAGTCGGCCAAACAGCAGCCGACCGGAAGAACGACTCAAAGTTTGTGAGAAACCAGTCGCTGAAAAATAGGACCATCCAGACGGTTCTTTCAATGTGGAGGTGAAAGAAAGGGCGTTAGTTCGTGACCACCCGACCAGAAAAACAGGGTCAGTCGGGAACAATTGGGCTCGAAATAAAAAGCCTTTGCCAGTTGATATAGACCCTCGTTTCCCGGGTATGAATCGTACACAGATTCGTAATGCCAAACGCAGGTATGCTGCAAAGTATGGGAAAAGAGGTCCTTCAGCAAAACAACTAACCGACGAACAAAAAGCAGCCGACCACTTGGCAGGAGATCAGTCCATTCGGATCTTTACAGAACAAACGACCAACGAGCAGGGAGTAACCATTCAGTCTCCAGTTGGTCGGTCCAGTCGGGTCTGGTCAGGAAAGCAACCGAATGACGGATTAGGCGCTTCCGACCATACCAAAAGAAGTTCGTCGGGACTGGGGAAAGGTAAAGGTGTGGCAGATGAAATAATTAAAGGTTTTAGATGCCAACATTGTGAACGGATCAACATCAATCCATCTCTTGAAGACTTCCGTATAGAATCTTTGACGTTTCAACCTCAGAACAAGACGAAGGAAGAAGTTATAACTACAGAGGAAAGTTCAAGATCTGTTAAATCTCGTTTGGGACCACGCATCCCTTGTCGGATGACAGAGTTAATCAGATGAGAGATGAACCGATATGGGCGAGTCTGGTAGATGATACTATGGACGAACCGTTATGGGCATTCTTGGCAGATGATGAATTAGAGGAGACAGAGGGGGCAAAGACCTCAGACTCTGAGCTTCAACCGGAGCCACCTTCGATTGTGTTTCCTCCCATTCCAGAGGGTGCGATCTCCCATTTGAAGCCTCTGTATGTTAATGCTCATATTTGTGGGAAACCAATCACAAAGGTTTTCGTGGATAATGGAGCAGTTTTTAATGTTATGCCATTGAAGACTCTCAAGAAGTTAGGAAAAGGAATACATGATCTATCTCCTGTGGAATTCGAAATGACAAGTTTTACAGGGCAGCCGACCAAGCCTGAAGGCATGATGGTTGCCACAATTGAAGTCGGACCAAAGAAGATCTCCACTGTTTTTTTTATTGTGGACGCAGATACTACATATTCTCTCTTGCTGGGAAGAGACTGGATTCATGCCTCTCGATGTGTGCCATCAACCTTGCACCAACAATTAATGTTCTGGGAAGGAGATCAGGTCTTCAAAATGGAAGCGAATGACAACCCATTCGTTGTATCAGAACAAGTTGAAGAGTCAGTGTTTTATGCCAGTCCTTTGGCTCCGATGTCTCAATTGTATATGGCCAGGGAATACCCAAACAAGGGTTATAAGGTCACTGGCCAGAACTCGATGTTCTATTAAAAGAACACCTTTATTGTATGGCTCATGATAAAGCCACACCCATTCCCGTATAATTTGTTTGTAATGGAAGATACAAGCTTAGAAGTATGTAGTTCTCTTATTAATAAGTTCTATTTAAAGCAATTATTACATAAAGCAGAAAATAGTAAAGAGATTCTGGATGTTCACCTCCAAGAAGATGAACAATTTCGTTGGCCCGACTTATTAGAAAAAACAGAACCAACAGCTTCATCACAAGACCCATTATTGGAGTTTAATTTAGGAACCGAATTGGTTCCAAAAGTGATCAGGTTAAGTGGTTATTTGTCTAAAGAGCAACAAACAATGATGCTCGAAGTTATTAGAAACAACATTGATTGTTTAGCATGGGATTATTCAGAGATGCCTGGCTTGACAAGAAGTCTAATAGAGCATCGATTGCCCATCAAAGAAGGTTGTAAACCTTACAAACAACCTCCAAGGCGAATGAGTCCAGATCTGATGCCTCAAATCAAGGAAGAAATCCAAAAACTTCTCAAAGTGGGTTTCATTCAACCTTGCCGTTATGCGGAGTGGCTGGCTAATATTGTGCCAGTGGTCAAGAAAAATGGTAAGATAAGGATATGCATCGACTTCAGGGATTTGAATCTAGCTACCCCTAAGGATGAATATGTGATGCCTATGGCCGACATGTTGATAGATGCAGCAGCAGGGCATAAAATCCTTAGTCTGATGGATGGTTATGCAGGTTATAACCAAATATTTCTGGCAGAGGAAGACATTCCTAAGACAGCATTCAGATGCCCAGGGGCTTTAGGTATTTATGAATGGACAGTCATGCCATTCGGGTTAAAGAATGCAGGGGCAACTTACCAAAGAGCCATGAATTCAATCTTTCATGATTTAATTGGCAGATCTATGGAAGTGTATATTGATGATGTTATTGTTAAATCTGCCAGTTTTGATGAACATTTGAGAGATCTTGAAGAGGCATTTGAAAGAATGAAGAAGTACAAGTTGAAGATGAATCCAACCAAATGTGCTTTTGGAATATCAGCCGGGAGCTTTCTAGGATTCTTAGTTCATGAGAGAGGAATTGAAATTGATGCCAATAAGGCTAAAGCCATTCTTGATAGTCGGCCACCCAAGACGGTTAAAGAAATCCAAAGTCTGTTGGGTAAGGTGAATTATTTGAGGCGTTTCATTTCTAATGCTGCTG